CCCCGCAACCATAGAGTTGGTCCAACAAAAGATGTCACCCACAAAAATACTTGCCCCTCATATTTTTCCTGGAACATTGTAGCTGCAGCATCACCCCAACTCTGCCACAAAAGAGAGGCAAGTCTTCCTTGACCTCTCAAATGCAGAAAGAAAGGCCTTACAATTCTCTAGACCAGCAAGGAAACCTCCGATAACAAAACAAGGGTAAGATTTTTTCCCCCCTGTGTGAAAAAACATCCCACCCCCAAGCCAGGATTTGCTTGAAAAGGGAAAGCTACCAGAGGAGGCAGAAAGGAGAGAAAAAAATTCACCCAGACATTTTCCAAGGAATGCTGCTGGGCTGTGTTAATTGGCTTTTTCTCTTTTTTTTTTTCCTGGCAGATCCCTACGTTAAGGTGAACGTTTATTATGGTAGAAAGCGCATAGCAAAAAAGAAGACCCACGTGAAGAAGTGCACTTTGAATCCTGTCTTCAATGAGTCCTTCATTTATGATATCCCAGTGGATCTCCTTCCCGACATCAGCATTGAATTCCTAGTCATTGATTTCGACCGCACCACAAAAAACGAGGTGGTGGGACGGCTGATTTTGGGAGCGCACAGCATCACCACAGCGGGCGTGGAACACTGGCGAGAGGTGTGCGAGAACCCCCGGAAGCCAGTTGCCAAATGGCACAGCCTGAGCGAATACTAGCAGAGGCTGTGGCAGCGAGCGCTGGCCAAGAGAACAGACTTAAACCTTGTTTTAGTCGTAGAACTAAACTTTCATAAGAAGCAGCTGATTGGTTATTTAGTGATGTGATTTTGCAGGGCACTAAAATTCTAAAAAGCATTAAAATTTAAAAATACCACAAATATATATAACAGTGTAGTCACGCTATTGCATGCCTAATACAAACTAAAATTAGTATAACTGCCAATATCAAGTTGCAGATTTTAATACAATTATCTGTCACTATCGAAGTTGTGTTTGTGCCGAACTGTCTTTGCTGGTATTCACCAAAACTGGTCTCTCTATTAGGCTTCTCCCAAAGTTTCTGAAATTGTTGTTTCACCTCTAGTTTCTTGTTAGTTTGTCTGCCCATTGATTCTTGCAGTTCACTTCTTTGCTGATTTGGGAGCACTAACTGCATTTCCATATATGAAGGTTTAGTATTCTGCACTGGTGCAAAGAGATACAGGGAAGAACAGTTCTATCTAAGGAAAAAAACAGCCTGTTACCTGGTACCAGAATATTTCTATTTGTGCTGTATTTGCTATGGAGCTATAAAGTGATTTGCATCTAAAACTGAAATACTAAGAAACTCATCACTGCTTTTGCCACATGGAGGTTCTGGAGAAATATTTGTATTATGACGGACTCCGGAAAGCACCAGCCTGCATTTTTTTCCAACCCTATATGTATATGTTGGGTTCAGGCAAAATGATCTACACTAAAGATGTGAGATCAAATTGTAGGAAGGCTGATGTTTTAAAAGTTTATAAATTCTACGTGACCGTTACCCAGTACCTTAAATCAGGCAGCAAAATACTGGAGAGTGAGTCTTCAAGTCAATTAAATAAATTAAACAGTAATCATATGTTCCTTAATTGGACTAGAAATAACATTTTATATTCTACAGTTGGTCTAAATAGCCCGTATTCAAAGGGTTAAACAATTTACATAGAAAAAAATGTTTTCACAAAATATCTTTTAGTTTCTCAAAAAAGCTAGTTTTCAGAAGTACAAAACAGTTTTAAACTACTTAACTATAAGGTATTGACTTCCGAAAAGTAGAACATGCTTGCTCTCTCCTGTGGATGGAATGTAAAACCATGACTGGATAAATGTGTTTAGCACTATGCAAGTTAAGCCTGAATAGTTTAATTTTAAACAAGTTCATAGAACTAAGTTCTGCGAAGGTCAGTTGAGCTTGGAGGTAGTTGCATTTAGATCTTACTGTAAAAACACTGCTCTAAACTTGTAAACAAGATGACTGTACTTTGACAAAGTAATTTAAGTTGGTTTCTTATATTCAAACTGGGAGATGTAAAAAGACAAGTGGCAGCAAACAAATAATTTTAAAGATTATTGGCAAGCGAAGCATGAACAGTTTACAACAAAATATAGTAAACAATCCCTCTGCAGGATTTTATTTTTTTTAAATTCTATATCTTGAAAATACAAAGCAGATTGAGTGGGCAGAAAAGCAAACAGAAGACTGCAAGTTTTCAGTGTTCGTTAAGTTGATTCCACGCAGCCAGTCTGGTCTGTGCCCCGTGGAATGTAAATAATGTATTATAAGTAATTTTTTTAAAACCATTTAACTATTTGCAGTACTTGACCACTGAATTTTAGAGCCCTGTTGAAAAAGTGATCCTCACCACTTTCTTACTATTGAAAGTAGATTAAACTGAGCAAGTCTTACCCTTCGGTTCCCTTTCCAGCCACAACGTAAAGCAATTGCTGCTGCAAGGACTCTTCACGTAGACAACCTGCACAACACCTGCCATTAATGTCCCAGTAGCTCTTCCTGACCGCATCTTTGAAAGGCTGAATCTTCTCAGTGGTAGCTTTCATTGCTTGTTAGGTACACCTTTCAAGACAGACTTTCATTTGAACTGTGAAAAGTGTTAACGGGTCAGGGAGTAATAGCAGTTACTCAGAAACAGGATTTCAGTTTCAAAGCCTTACAAGTGCAGGTAAATGCAATGCGAGTTTCCCCATGCACTCTACTGGGAAACCTGAATCCTGATTATGAGGATTTGTGCTTGAGGTTGGAGTAGATTTTGATCTACGTCTTAATTCCTTTGTAGCTTATACACTACTAGTGGCTCTCTACCATGACCAGGAGAACAGATTCTCCTCTAGACGTTCAGTGCAAATATATTAGATTTCTGTTTTTCCTCACTAAGCAGTCTGGTTATTAAAGGCTATTGAATGTCACTGGTCCTCCGGGGAACCATATTTTTCCCTCCCCATCGCAGAAATATTACTAGGATACATTCTATTCAAATGTTCCTTTTTTTCTTCAATGTAAAGAGTATGCTTAAGCCTAGATCACCTCCTTATTCTGATTCCTTTAGTTGAAAAGGAAAGATGAACTCGTCAAGGAAATGTGCTCAGGGTAAATAGACTTAGGCTTATTGGGCAGATATGAGTAGCTCCATTACTCCTCAGGAATAATGGGAAACTGAAGATGTGCAGATAATTTTTCTTTGGTGTAAAACTGACAGTTAGTGACAGCTGCCTCACCGTGGAATCTCTCAAATGTGGTTTCTTTACCTTGTGTCTTCTATTGTAAAATTAACTTGGACGGTTTCAACTTTGTGTTAAAAGAAAAAAAGCAAAAGAACTAACTTGAAATTTGTGAAACTGCATAATGCTGTATGCTAATCCTACAATATGTAATGCTATCTTGTATGTTGAATTTGTTAACGCACATTGAGTGTGCAAATAAAGATTGATTCACTTTAAATAGCTACTGCCCGTAGCATGTTTGGAAAAAAAGGAATACCGAATTTAAAAACAGAACTGCACCAACTACTTAAGAACTGGTGTCTAGAAAAGGCACGTTGTTGCCATCAACCCAGTGACAGCGTTTCATAGGAAACAGCACCTCCTGTACTAGAAAGCTCAAAATAATCACTGAACAGTCTAAAAATGCAAACAAAGTTCCTTCTAAACACTTATCCTTCACCACATTAAGGCTAATACCACTGCAGCCAAGATGGCTGAGTGTTGCAGATCACATCATGGATGAACAGCTGGTTGAAGTCTACCCCAGTCAACTTGGAAGTGATGCAAATGGGCAAGACAGCACTGCGAAGAATCGGCAGCACCAGAGCAGCCTCCTTTAGTTGAAGATGCATGCTCACTCAGTTTGTTCAGTCTGCAGTTTAAGAGGATTCCTGATTGCTACTTAAGCTCCTCCATAGCAGACTATGCATGTAAGGCTTTCTACCATCTCTGAAGGACGGTGATCTTGGCCTGTGTTGCATGCTTCTCCACAACCTCCCATCCAGACCACCACACAACAGAGTCTATCTGGGCATGAAGCCAGCAGGCCTTAGGAAACTCCAAATAGTACCGAATGCTGCATTGCGTCTCCCCAGCAACACAGGCTACTGCCAGCACATTAAGTCTGTCCTCCACTCTTTTTTGTTAGCTTCCCACAGAATTAAGTTTAGGATACTTGGCCAAGATCCCCACAGGCATACAGGTGCCTAGATACCTTTCTGAATTTGAATCTTCAAGGTACCCAGTGGTTTCAGCCTAAGTGCTCCAAAACATCACCCAAAGTACAAGGCTGAGGAGCATGCTCACTAAATCAGGTCTTCAGGAGAAAGGGAACTTTCTGCCATGAGGGAAGAGCTTGTTTGTGAAAGACACAGCCTTCGCAGTGGTTAGTTCAAGATAAAATGAGCCAAGCTCATTCACAACCCTCACCACTTTCCTGTGGCAAACAGCACTTTTTTGATCATGTCACCTCTCCAAGTAACAAAGCAATGCTTACCTTTAAAAACACGCCCCCCCCCAAAAAACCCCCCACCCAGAACAAAACACTATATGGTGCACAGAAATCGCTCCAGGATGAGGATAAAAATGAATGGACTGCATGACAAAGCTTATTCCAGACACTTAGTATACTACCAAAAGATGCACGGATAGTATGAGGGGGAGGAGGAGATGATCCTGTACACAAAACAGTGCCAGAAATGCACATGAAATTAAACTTATTTAGCAATACACGTAGGCTTTAATATTTTTGTTGCCACGTAATGAGGGGCCACTTTGTTACCCAAGGCGGCCCTTTCAAGTTATTGTTTTTGGAATTGTTTATCACAACTGACAATAAAATAATGGAATCCAGTCAAATTAGGCACTTAATGAATAAGAGTCAGAAAAAACACAGCACTTATTTATAGAAGCTGACATGTATATTCATATAAATTGAAGCAGAACAGCACAGTGAAATAGCTAAGTAAGCGGTTTTCTGCAACCGATTTAGTTATACCATACAATGATCCCTCATTTGTCCATCATCTCAATAACTGTTGGCTAATAGTGTTTAATCAGAGAAAGTGTTGACATTTATATGATCACTGTTTGTTTTCCATGAACTGTGCTGCAGACATTAAAATCTCTTCCCCACTCTGTGCTTGGCATCTGTGCCACTGTGGAATGTGTGTTAATGGGATACTCCAGCTCCTTGTTCCTTTTAGCCCAGGCAGAAACTCTCCAAAATTTACATAAGAAAAAAAAAAAAAAAAAAAAGGGGGGGGGGGGGGGAAAGGAGTTGACAAACCATGAAAAGAGAAATGGTTGTAAAAAGCAAAGAAGTTCAACTTTGACTCATTTCCTCTCTTCTCTGGGGCTGGGTCCTGATCCCATTGAAGTCAATAGGAAATTTGCCATTGCCTTCAATGAGAGCACAATCAGGCCTTTCCTTCCCTGACAGCCTCTACCCCACCTAACTGTACACAGCAGTAAAGCTCTGGTCACCATGATAACTGCCATTTGTGTATTTGATGATCACAAGCTCGCCAGGTCTGGATTCTCTCAATAGCTGCCTGGAACAGAGCGAAGCTGCACCTCCATCCTTTTTCTGGACCCTGTCATTACAACACACTTATCAGATTATATTTTCTAGTAATCCCAAAGTGGAATTCTGTATCATCTACCAAAAGCCAAAAACAACAGTCAGTTGTTCCTAGCCAGGAAATACGGCAAGTTCAGATGCCTATGACTTTTTGTTTAGGAGCTTGTAACCAGTGGCATATAATAATAAATTATCTTTCTTCAAACAAAAATATTTTTAGTGGTAAGAAAATAAAAACATAATGAGAAACACAGCTGCTTTCCTTCCCTTTTCTTCATTGCATTTCAAGACTGAGTGCAATTTCTAGTGACAAGAGATTTATAGTGGAGCTATGGTGGCAGGCTCTGCTCCTACAGCAAGGCTGTCTCTGGATTTGGTGCTAAGAGTGCAGGCTGGACAACTGGAAAATTAGACTTGTACATTAATAATGCGGTAGACTGTAAAGAAATAAGAAGGAACAGACGGCATGAATAGAGTGGAATCCCTTCGCATCAAAATCACTCTGGGGAAGGCAAGTAAAACAGGTTCCTTCAGGACTACAGCTGCGATTCTGCTAGACACCAGGCCTGTGTGAAGCGGCAAGTATTTGCTTTGGATTCGGATTCAGATGATTCGGAGGGACAGTGATTTGAATCACTGTCCCGATTCGATTCAGCCAATTCGGATCCAAAGATTTGGCGCTGATTAGGAGATTCGGCCATAGACTAAACAGGCAGCAGTCCTCACCATGCTGGACACAGCTGCCTCCAGCTGGTAAGTCTGTTGTGGTGAGCAGATCAATGCCCCCACAGCGAGGGAGGGATTGGGGCTGGGACAAGCTGCCCAGCTGGGACGGGGGGCATGGGACTTGGGGAGGGGGGCTCCAGCCACTGCATGCCACCGATCCAGGATGGCATGGGAGTGGATGTGTGCCCCTGGATCTGCGTGGAGCGGGCTGAGCCCGGCTGTGCTCCGGATGGGCGGTGGAAGGCACTGGGAGCAGGGGCAGCTTGTCCCAGCCTCAGTCCCAATCCCTCCCTCGCTGTGGGGGCATTGATTTGCCCCCTCCACCGACCACAACAGACTAACCAGCTGGAGGTAGCTGTGTCCAGCGTGGTAAGGACTGCTGCCTGTTTAGTCTATGGCCAAATCTTCGAATCAGCGCTGAATCTTTTCCGTATCGATTTGGAGGCTTCCAATTTTATTCAGTCCTTTTAATTGGTCTCCCGATTCGGTTTGGATTCAGAGATTCAGCTGCCTAATCGGGCCGAGTCTCCTCTGAATTGAATCAGGTACCGAAGCTTTGCACAGACCTACTAGACACCTCGTGATCAGATTTAGATACAGAAAGAAATCTCTGAAATATTATTTAAGAAATAAGTACCACCAGAAATCATGTCATTATGGGGAGCTAACTTCCTAAATACAGACTTGGATAAATTCCAGTCACCTATGATTGCACACGCATGCACTGATGACTGTCCAAGCAACAAAAGTCAAGTCTGCTACATTAATAATGAGAAAAGGGCAGCTAAAAGCAGTACAAAAAATGTTGTAAAGTATGAACTGCTTCATCAAGGAAAAGAATCTCTCTTCACCTGAACACTGGTTTTTTTATGCCTTTGCATATAGTCCAACATTGAATAGCTTGCATACAGACTGCATTATACTTTGTATTTGTATATACACTGTAATCTGCCATGCAGCATCAGACCAGTAATTTATCTATGTAAGTCATTAATTATCTTGGGTTCCTGTATCAGTCAAATGATGACAAAACACATCATACAAGATCCCTTGGTCACTAGTGAAATATTCAATCTGTGGCAAAGTGAAAAAAAAATCAAACTTCAGCTAATGCGAATCACAGTAAGATTTCACTGGTAATCATTAAACTAAAACAAGAATCAGTACAGGGACTAGAAACCAAAACTATAAATTCCTTCATGGAGAAAGTTTAACAGTTACCAGTATGTGACAGCTTACATTTCACTTACAGGTTCAAAGCAGTGAGATGCAGACAGATCTAAATGTTCCTTGCCAAAGAAACTAATGAGACAATGAGGCAAACAGGATTTAACCCATCTAATTAGTGAAAAAACTTCACCTTAAAAAAGAAAAAGAAAAAAAACCCTGTGGAGATTGCAAGCTCTAATACAACTTAAAGTATAAAGACAGGAGCTAAATCAATATATGACAGCATGAATAAAATGGATCATGGCAGTATGAGTTTGCATGTTTAATTGAACAGAAGGAAAAAGATAAGCAAAAACCACCTATTCAAGCCTTACCAATTACTCTAACATGATCTTATTACAAATTAATGCATGCATTTGTTTACTGGGGTTTCAAATTGACATCAGCCTCACTGGTCCCAATAGCCGCCAGGAACAGCATCAAGAGATAGCCAGTGTCACACTAGTGTTCCTCTACTAGCACCTAGGAAGATGCTTACTGCAGCAATTCATCACAGGGGCTGCTCCAATCTGGCAGCATCTCTATTTCTTAAACTTATTAGCCACTCACATGGCTTTAAAACTAAATCATGTGCCAAGTCATAACACTACTCAGCTTGCTAACCATAAGGGAAGCTGGGAAGTATAGGAAAAAATACAGAAGGAAAATGAAAGGAGCCCATTGTACACAGTGGTGCAATCTAAGTGGAAAAACCTGCTGGTGATACTGTCTGAAGTCTCATTTAGTGTTAAGAAAAGCCATTAGATGAGGTCACATTCTGAATGTTTCTCTCTATATACATATTTCCAGGAAAAAAGGAGTTACACCCCAATGAGAATTCAGGTTTTTTATAATACAGGCAACCCCCGCTTAATGCTGTTTCGCTTAGCGCTATTTCACTATAACTCCACACTGATACCCGATTTCACTTAGCGCTCAGC